AGGGAGGGAGGGAGGGAGAGGGAGAGGGAGACAGAGAGGGAAAGGGAGAATGAGAATAGCCAGAGAGGAAAGCATGATAAATTGGTGTGAAGTGATCAAACATGAACAATTCTGCTAAGTGTTCAAAGTTTTTTTTAATTAAATGGGCACAGAAAAAGATAGAATGCATACAGAAAACAAAAGAAAAGAAATCACTCACTTTTGGGAATCGATTTAGGATAACAAAACTTCTAAAGAAATTGTGAGTAAGAAACACTTCCAAAGAGTATGTTAAAAATAACAGAGTTCTGCAAGAAGAAATAATGACATTCTTAGTCCAAATGCAAACTCCTTCGCACTGAGGAGAATGGGATACTGAATGATAACAGAATAACAAGAGTCAGAAGGGACCTTGGATGTTAGGACCCTGCTAGAAGGCAGGTAAATATATAGGTGAGTGTGATGGTATCAGAAGCCTGTATCACTAAACAAGTTTATCTTCTCTATACTCTTATTTTACTACAAGGAAACATAGGATATACGATTGTCCCAACATACTCCGTTTAAAGTAGTTCCTCCCTTCCTCCAAGATACAGTAAATACTTGTGGTTTTTTTTCAAGGAATTGTGACATGTATAGCAGCTTGTTTTGCTAATTATCTTAGCAAGCATTAGAAGAATCAAGCAGTAGATGGAAATCAATTACACTATATGCATAATAATAGAAAGCTTTAAAAAGGGAGACAAAAATATGCCTGCCTTCTGGACCATTTTTTCCTGGAAAATCAAGTGCTACCTAGAAGATAACATTTTTTTGCACCCATACTTGTTCTAGACAATTGATGTTGATGTTATCTATTCAATTGTGTCTGACTCTTGGTGAATCTATGGGTCAGGTGTCTCCACATCTTTCAATCTTGCACTATTTCTTTGAGTTGCTCTATGGTTTGACTTTGATATCAGCTTTGATGGTATCCAACCATAGTTTTCTTTGGTGGCCTGGTTTCCTTTACGGCTAACTTTTCCAAACATAATGACTTTCTCCAGTAAATTTCGCCACATGACATGGCCAAAATATTTATGAACAAATATTGCTTTCTAGGTTTCTGAAGACTGTGAGTTCTGTATTATGAATACAAAAACTATATTCAGTCTTACTAGTATCTGAGGACAAAATGACAAAAAACCTTTTATAGCATAAAAGAAGTTGATATGCATCTACTTTCCCCCCATAATATCAAGAAACTCAGTATAAAACCTCATAAAGCTTTCAACAAAAATTGATTAAGATTTATTAAAGACTGAAAACTAGAGAAACCTCAGAATTTCACTACCTTTTGCCTGTTGTATTCCAATTTCACAGTTTTTGTGTGATGGTTGCTGTAAGCCTGTCATTTTGCAAATTGGTAGTCTGAAAATTAAGGTTTTACCAATTTACATATTTACCTATTAACAAAGGCATTATGATTCAAGTCCAGACTTTATACACATAGCTTCTTTACTAATCTTTGAAACCCACCAGTGTTGTATTAAAATTGATACAGCCACATTTGTCTTTTTAGCACAGGTTTGACCTTTTACAGAAATGTTGTGAACTGAATGCAATGGAGTGGCATCAATTTTGTCCTGCTAAATGTGACAACTTCTGAAAATAAGATGGAACTAGCTACAGTTAGACTCATTATTGATTTCTACAGGTTTTTGACACACTCCATTTGCAAGTTACTTCCATCTATCACACATGAATTAGAGATCATCAATAATGTATCAGTAAATAAATAATGCTTATATACTGCAGTCATGACAACAAATTATATTGTGTCAGAGGTCAGCAGTCTATGATGTAGTTCTCAGGAAAAAAAATTATACAGTTGCATAAATGTGAATCAAATTTTTGCCATGAACTTTTCAGTTGCTCCTTAAAGCTGAATACTAATCAACATTAATTATTTCTTCTGTATTTATAAGGGAAAACAATACTAAGTATCAGATTAATACACATATTAAACATGTTAAAAACTGTTAGAGAGCACTGTAATTTCTTTCAAAAGTCTTCCTGACTGATTCTATGAAATCTACATTGATAATAATACAACAATAATGAAAGATGCCTATGTGCTTTACAGATTTATTGTTATTGATTTAATCAACTTATTAATCACTTCAAATTCCAAAGCAACCTTTGTTTAGGCTACATCATTATATAATCCATTCCTCAGAGTTTAGCAATACTTGGATTGCTTTAAATAAGATGTCATGTACTCTACTGAAAAAAAAAAAAACTAAAATAAGAAAAACATTCGCTTCCAAAATTCTAGATTTTTCTAGATTTTCTCCTTTTGCTTGCTTCCTTCTTCCATTCTTTTAAAAAATGTGATTAATATTTTTTTTAAAAAAATCTGGATCATTTATGTTATATGTGTGTGTGTGTAGAAAGAAAGAAAGAAAGAAAGAAAGAAGGAAGAAAGAAAGAAAGAAAGAAAGAAAGAAAGAAAGAAAGAAAGAAAGCATTCTGCGAACTCTGGAACTAAAATAATTAAAATTTTATTCTACTAAGATTTCATCAGCCATCTGCTGACATTGTTAGAGTATTAAATTACCATTATAGAGATCTCTGTCTTTATATGTCATTAGTCAATTTGGCCATTGCGCGCGTAATAGGCCCTTCCAACCATCTCCCACTTGTAATTAGCTGTGTTGTTTTTGCTGTTGTCATTGCTGGTTAATGGAGGTTTAATTCTTACTGTTTCCTCCCTCTTAGCTTGTTTATGTGGGGGGATGATGTTAGCCTGTCACACCATTGCAATTTGCTGTCTTGTCCGTGACCTTGTGGTTGGCCAGGTTTGTTTCTCATTAATCCTGTCTGTTATAGCTTGAGACAGCTCTGCCAGGTTCCTCTGTATTTGGTCAGGACTGACTATGCCTTCACAGGCCAAGTCTGCATGCTCAGGGGTGGGGGGACGGTGCCATCGGTCTCTGTTCCCCGATGGAAAGCAGTCTCTGCTCACCCTGCAGGGTCTCTCCTGGTATCTCAATGCCTGGTAGACCGGCGGAAGTTCGATATGCCTATTGATGGAATTGTTATTGGAGAACCAGGCTTCTTTTAGTAGGCGTCCTCCTTTAGTCCTATCGTGGGCAATAACTTCAGCTTCTTGAAAATTGAATGTCTGATTGTACTCCTTCATATGCGTCCAGATCTGGGAGTGCTGTTCCTTGCGTCGGACAGCCAGTTCATTTTAGTGTACTCTGGTCTGTAGCCGCTTGGCCGTTTCCCCTATGTAATTGCTTGCACTGTTACTACAGTTGATGCAGTAAATTATCGAAGATGCCTCCTCCTTAGATAATGTTTCCTTTGGGCGCATCACTCTCATTCTCAGAGTTTGGTCCGGCTTATGTGCCACTTTGACTCAATGTGCAGAGAGGATGCGTGTGGCAGTTTCAGATACCCCCTGTATATATGGGAGCACCTTCCACATAGCAGTTCCACTGATACCTTCAATAGGCTGTCGAATCCTAGTTGTAGTACACCTTCGGATAAAGTCCATTGAATAACCATTGAGCTTGCATACCTGATAGAGATATGCCTTCTCCTTGGCTTTGGCTGTCCGTGTACTACAATGAATGCCTATCCTATTGAACAGTGCTCGAATACAACTGACTTTATGTGCAATGGGGTGATTGCTCTCATTATGTAAAATGAGGTCCGTGTTCGTGTTTTTTCGATATACATCTGTGTCAAGGCTCCCATCTGGGTTGCGGCTGACCAGCACATCCAGAAAGGCCAGCATATTATTGGTCTCTTCCTCCATCGTAAATTGAATGTCTGGGTATATGGAATTGAGGATTCCTATAAATCTGGTCTTATCTTGCTGTTTAAGAATGACAAACGTGTCATCGACATAACATGCCCAAAACCTGGGCTTGTAAATTTTCATAGCCTCATATTCCAATTTCTGGAAGATCCCCTCTGCTACCACTCCCGAGATTGGAGATCCCACAGGCATCCCCTTTATCTGTTTGTACCGATGGCTGTCAAATGTAAAATAGGTTCTAAGGCAAAAATTCAACAGGTGGAGGAGGTCGTCTGTGCTAGGAGATTTGGGGTTTCGTGAATTCCACTAATAATTCCTTTATAGTTAGGGCCACCAGCTCCAGGGGGATGGACATAAACAGAGACATGACATCATTGTCTCATCTTCCCCAACCTCCAACCATTGTAAAAAGTTGGTGGAGGACCTCACACTGGTAGTGGCATCTTTGACCAGATGTTGTAGTTGTCCATATAACCATTTGGTTAAGCCAAATGTAGGAGTGCCACAAAGCTATAACAGACAGGATTAATGAGAAATAAACCAGGCCGACCACAAGGTCATGGACAAGACAACAAATTGCAATGGTGTGACAGGCTAACATCATCCCCCACACACAAGCAAGCTAGGAGGGAGGAAACAGTAAGAATTAAGCCTCCATCAACTAGCATGACAACAGCAAAAACAATACAGTTAATTACAAGTGGGAGACAGTTGGAAGGGCCTATTACACATGTGCAATGGCCAAATTGACTATTAAGGCAGAGATCTCTGTAATAGTAGTTTAATACTCTGACAATGTCAGCAGATGGCTGACGAAAGCTTAGTAGAATAAAATTTTAATTATTTTAGTTCCGGAGTTCGCAATATATAACAACATATCTCTACGTATAAGAATAGAGTACTTATGATTCAGGCGATTCACTGATGTGTCACTAATTTTCTAAGAAAGAAGACATTTAAAGTGATGAAACAAAGCATGGCAATGTGATGCTTTGAAAATGAATGCAGTTTATGTTCACCAATACACGGGAAAATAAAAAGATACATTTTAGTCAAATGTTTAGATGTGGTCTAGAAAGAGGAAGTTGCACATTCTGGATCCCAGCTCACAGCATACTTGCCATAACTAAGTGTGTTTTCAACATATTCATTTCCCACCCCCACCCCAGGTCCACGTAGCATTTCATGAAATCATGTAGCATCTTCTGATGAGGAGTCAGGTTTTCTCTTTTTTATTTTAGTGGATATATATTAAAAAATGAGCCAGCAGTGTACAGCAGCTGCCAAAAAAGGCAACACAGTTCTAGGCTGCATAAACAGAGGGATAGAATCAAGATCACAAGTGTTAATACCACTTTATAATGCCCTTTAAGGCCACACTTGGAGTACTGCATCCAGTTTTGGTCGCTATGATGTAAAAAAGATGTTGAGACTTTAGAAAGAGTGCAGAGAAGAGCAACCAAGATGATTAGGGGACTGGAAGCTAAAACATATGAAGAACGGTTGCAGGAACTGGATATGTCTAATTTAATGAAAAGAAGGACTGGGGTGACATGATAGCAGTGTTCCAATATCAAAGGGGCTGCCACAAAGAAGAGGGAGTCAAGCAATTCTCCAAAGCACCTGAGGGTAGGACAAGAAGCAATGGGTGGAAACTAATCAGGGAGAGAAGCAACTTAGAACTAAGGAGAAATTTCCTGACAGTTAGAACTGTTCCAATCAATGGAACAACTTGCCTCCAGAAGTTGTGAATGCTCCAACACTGGAAATTTTAAAGAAGATGTTGGATAACCATTTGTCTGAAGTGGTGTAGGATTTCCTTCTTAAGCAGGGGATTGGACTAAAAGGCCTCCAAGGTCGCTTCCAACTCTGTTATTCTGTTTTCTGTTTTCTAATTCATTATTTACAATTCTTGTGTATGTCCTCACTTGAATACTGATTTTGCAAAATTTGATGATAACAAATAAAGCTTTCCTCCCCGTTTGCTTTCTAATGTATCTAGTGGTGTATTGAATATTATATCCACTGAATGTTAATTTAAAACGTGTCTATTGTCATTTGTATAATTAAAAGATATGGTCAGAATCACACTTCTCATACAACTGTTTTCTCATTGTTGTTCTAGCTTTCAGTCACAAAACGTTATTAGGTAGGAAGATAATGTTTTTCTTTCTTTCTTTCTCTTTATACATTGTTACTGTTAAGGTCTTTCATGCATAATTGCCAATATAGAAGAACTGCCCTTGGAAGACGTTGAATTGCCCCATCAGGTATGAAATAACATGCAGAGCAGTTTGAATCTCAACCACAACAGGAATACACTAAGAAAATGAACTCCATAAAATATTTCTACAAATAATTGTTTTGCAAAGTAATAGTCATTATTCTTTCACTTAATGCCTTTAATATGATATAAATCTGTTGGCTGATTCCAGAAATATTCTTCCTCTCATACTTTCCACCTTCACTCTAGGCAATATTTATATACTCATTCAATTGTGTCATGAAATTTTATACAATGGAACGCAAGGAAAGTATGTTGGCTATTTAATTCACTCAAGCCACGGGACTGCCCATTAGCCTCTCTTGTCGAAGAGACATCAGCCTTTGGAACCATCTTTCTTCTGCTTCTGCCTTGTCAATAAATAACTGTAAGAAAAAGAAGAAGAAAATAAGTATACAGCATAGTTAAATAGATAAGGACATTAAGATTTGTGAATATCTGAAGTCATCTTTTAAATTCAACCCTATAATGCATTACTAGCAAGGAATGTATGATGCATTTCAGTGCAATTACAAACATAAGTGATTTCAATTTCTATCAAATTCTGGTGTTTTCTGAATCAGACCTATTTTTAATGCCAAAATCAGTACTAGAATATACAGTGCATTCAAAAAGTATTCAGACCCTCTTCACTTTTGTCAATTTTTCTTTTTAATAAATTTACAGATATTTCTAAAATTCTGTTTTCACTTTGTCATTATGGGGTACTGAGTGTAGATTAATGAAAAAAATAAATTTCAGTAATTGAAGAATTAGGCTGCAGCATAACAAAACTGACAAGAGTGAAGGGGGTCTGAATACTTTCTGAATGCACTGTATATTCATAGAATGCCATTGAGCTGCACTGAATAATCAAATTCTTTGCCCAAACATTGAGAGAAATTTGATTGTAGAGATACCATGTATCTCTAAAACCTGTAAATAACAAGCAATAACAAGCTATAACAAGCAAAAGATGACTACAAAGCTGAAGTTTAAGCAGAGAAATTATTCAGGAGAACAGGTACATTCTTAAAAATCTTAGAGAGACCTTTATGTGCCTTAATAAAAAGTTTTCTATATGAATTACAGGTATCTCTACTACCATGCCAGGAACAGTGACTTTTAAATTAAAGAGAGGTACAAATGATCTTACTGGGAATCAGTATGCAATAAAGCCTTACTGGATCCTGTTATCATAAACAAAGTTTAGATTATTGATCAATTGTAAAACAACTGTTTCATCTAATTGGGGGTCCATAACTTCAATCTCTGAAAATCCCTGAATTTCCAGATGATCTCCTGAAGTACCATTAAAATACGGCTGATGGACAAATATTAAATATATAAGAACCAACCATGTCTTCTTTTTTCATTTGAATTCAAATTAAATCAATAATAGATTTTTTTTTTGTCGTAGAACTAGTCATTACTTTGTTCATGCCTTGTCTGCTTTCCAGTGTAGAAAGAGAAATGACATAGGATTTATTTATTAACTTTACAAATAAATTTTATCCAGCAAGTCTGGATAAAATAACACATAGATAAATAACACAATGTAAAAGTCATAAGGCAACAGAGAATTGAAAAAAAGTGATTCCTTGCAAAATTGTGTCATAACACAGAACAGAAGGATGAGGTCTTCAATGCCTTCTAGAAAGCCAACCAGACCAGGATCTCTAAGGTGAAGTGAGTGTTGCTGTTACAGTGGACAGGAACCACAATAAAGAATGCATCCACGTGTGGTCAACTTGATGACACAGTTTCATCTTGTTCATTCATGTGGGATGCATGAGTTAAGAGACCTGGGGCAAGCCTACTATGCCAGATCTTATGGGATGGACCGAAACTATTGGAGAAACGTAATCCTGCAAGTCACCTGGCCTTGTGGCATGTACTGTAGGACTTTAAAAGTGATAACCAGAACCTTGAATTGCACCCAGAAGCTTACTAGGAGGCAACAACGTTGATGTGCAAAGACTGGTGAGTCATTTACTCCCCCAAAATTATATACCCCAGTTTTTAATAATGGCAAGATAGAAAATATAATCAATTTCAAATTTCAGCACATTCATATGGGGGAAGATATATCCAAAAGAATCTAATCTTAGATCCCTTAAAGCTTTCAAGGTATAAGCTCCTATAAACTGAGTCTGGAGATACAGTCAACATTCATGGTCAGTATTATATTAAAATTGCAATGTCTGAAATCACTGTTTTACCGGTAGCTGATTTTGCAGCCATGTTTGAGTCTACCTGCAGTATCCAGACAGAATTTAAATGTATTTTATCTAAATGACTATACTATTATTTAATCTGAAAATAAAAAGTAAAAAAAGTTTTGAAAAATAATCTTCTGTATATCTGAATATAGCAGTTGGATTTCATAGTGTTGCTCATGCTACAAATTTAGTCAGGATTTTATGGAAGTTCTTGAGTATTTTTTTTTTAAAAAAGAAAACAAATACATATATGGATAAAGAGATTACATACCCTCATCTCCTACACTCCTTATAAATTATTTTAATCAAAGACTGCCATAATCAGCAAACTTACATTGGGATGGGCAAGTGAGTTTTCATCTTGGTATTTGATAGAAGTAGGAATAATTCCAGGCTTTACTTCTTTTTCAGTAACAGCAACACCAATGTTTGTCACTTCTGTAATTCCCGGTTCGCTTTTGATATCAGCAGATTCTGTGACCTAAATGTATTCACAAAACGATCTTTATAGATGAACTAATTCTGCTATGAATCATTTGAGAATACCTTTGCCTTGTAGCAGACCTGCTGAACTTTCAAAAATTAACTGCTGAATCATCAGTTGCCATTTCTCTTTTGTGGCTTTGATCTTCTTATCCCCCAGGAAGGCCTTATATTGTTTTTTTTTATACATATAATTGATTAACAGTTGAAGCTGTTCAGTGGATGTGAAGGGGATCTGGCTACGATATCTGTCATCCCATCGATCGCCAGAATTGAAATAAAAGTAAATAATATATAGGAGTACCTCAAGCATGTATATATGTATCTAGAGTTTTATACAAATAATTCAATAAAGAATGTGAGAAAGCAAAGAACTGCAAAAAACTGTGCCAAATAATGTGTGAAGAAAAGAGCAGGAATTTCTTTTTCCTTTTAGCTTGGTTAATATGAAATTCTACTCTCGAGATAGCTCTGAACTGAGGAGAAATTCTGGGATATTTCACAGCTGGAAAAGGAAAATCAGATCCCCCTCTTCTGCACAAAAAATTAACCTTGTGTTTGTCTGAAAAATATATTTTATTGCAAAATATAAAGTACATTTCTCACATATAAATACAGTGTCATGTAATAAGTGGAATCTGTACTTGACTTAAAATGGCCAGGGATTAGGATTACTACAGTACTGGTAATATTGGTATAAACAGTCAATGTCAATGATAGTTGCATTAATATATAGTTCCACCACAGGATTCACAAGGATCCTATACAAAGAAAGAAATATTGAAAAGTTACCTTTTTGACTTCTTTGCTCGATCTGAATGTCTGTGGAATAAAAGAGTCACTTTCAATTGCTTCAATTTCTTTGACTCGTTTTACTTGCTCAACAAGACTGGCTTGATCTATGGAAAAAGGTACAATGTCAATATTGTTCACCATCACTTTAAATATTGTATTGTGTAATATATTCCTATCGTATTTCTTTTACTAAGAAAACAGAAAAGTTGAAGATAAGCAATGGTGTTTCCAATGAAATTCTATTTGTAAGTAACAAAGAAAACAACCATTTATATAAAACACACGCAGGATGACCTGCTGAACCCCCCCCCCCAATTAAATTTCATTATACTTTTAATGCCATCTTCCCTCCAAACAAAAGTAATTGGTTTGTAAGAGGAGGAAAACACAGTTTCTAAGCCAAAGTAGGCGATATGCTGTTACCTGTTGTGTCTGAAAGTGTCCGTATTAATACTGTATTCATGTATATTATTTTAATATTCTTATGCAACTTTTAAAATGAGTTTCCCCAATATTTTTGCAATTAGGAAACATTTGAATAATTCCAGGGTAGAATTCATCACATACATATGTTCATACAGATAGAAATGAAATAAGGGCAAATAAAACATATTGAGTGCAACAACAAGGTGCATTAGAATATACTCACAGAATCAAAATGTTGAAAGGATAATTTATGCCAGAAAGTCCAATTCTACAGCAATTACTATAGGAATTCCATTTACAGCATGTACTCTGATATACATGAGAATCCCAAAGAGAACTTATCTTATGAGAAAAAGCTCCTTCAGATGACAGGGGAACCCAAGGGTGTGAGATAGTTGGTGAGTTGGGAAAGGTCAATGCATAGCCTAAGAGCATGTTGTTGTTAAGGGCATCTAGTAATCTCTTAAGCACTTTTCTTAAAAAGTATCAGAACACCAAATACTCCTTAATATATTCAGTTGATATGGTGCTAAACAACTCAATCCTTCTAGAGTATTTCATTATTGATTTATATAAACGATGTATGCTAATTTGTTGATAAGTAGATTGAATTTTTCAGAATATAAAATTTAAAGCTGCACTTTGTCAAATAATGGAAGAAATATTAACAAACCTCTTCCCATGTTATCATATTCTACAGCTGGACTATATTTGGTACTATAGTTCTAAGCTATTAAATGATGTGAGCCACAACAGAAGTGACTTAGTGTCACTAAGTATTCGTTAAAGTATACCCACCGAATACCACCTTTACTAAAACAGTGGAAAAGATTTGGGAAAGAGAGTCCTTGTTAGGTTGGACGTACTATAATAGAAATCCTTAGATCATGAAAATCCATCTTCTTCAATGTTCAATGTTTCTATCAGTGCCCTTTACATCATATGGTAGCCTTCCTTTTTAAGTATGTTTGCATATAACTGTTATAGTAAAATAAAGCATATAGCAAAATAAAGCAAGTACTCTTTCTCAAGTATATTTATGCATGCTGATTTTCTGATACCCATGAACCTATCACAATCGGTGTAGAAAAAAATGATGCAGTCCGTATGCATCCTGTCAAATATTACCAACATTTTATAGTATAAATTCAAAATAGGAAACCATAAATAGACAAAGGCATGACTCAGATATTTGAAGTACTCTAATGCAAGTGACAATTATAATCTGGGGACATGTTCCTCAAGGGAAATAGAATCACAGAATGTTTTCCTGAATTACTTCAACAACATTAACTGCATAAAAAGAGATTGGAAGGAAGTAGCATCCATTAGTCTACAATATTGTTGACAAACACATTATTGGTAGATAAAATGACTTCCATATAGTGTTTGTCAGATGTCAGTAGAAAGGATATATATTTCATAGTAAAATCAAAAATAATGGAGTCAGAAAGCTAAGAGGATACAGAAAAAAAATCAATACTAACTCATTGGACAGCAAGTCCTTTCACTCTAGGCAGACTTTAAATATAGAACTATTTATATTGGTGACTGATGTGTTGAAGGCATTTTTTCATACATAAATCATTTATCTAGAAGAATTACAGTTGTGCTTGCTTCTAAATAGGAAAAAATAGGAAAACATAAATATACAGAAAAACATCCAACATAATTTTTTTGAGGACTTTGGTAATGCCTTGATCCAAGTCTTTAATTTCAATCACTCTGTTCAAACCACATGGCTAATATCTGTAGGTCATAACTACTGTACTGTAGATGAAAGCTCTTGAAAGCAGCAGATGGCACTATATAACCAGTTAAATGAAAAGATGCATCCTAAGGGCCCTTGTTTTTTGGATAAAAATGCACCTTACTTCTCTTCATGTGATTTGTTTTCATTAATCTCAAAATCATAACAATGTTTAATGGGCATGGTTTTCAGCTTTTTAATGGCTACTTGGCAGGAATTAGCAATTAAATGAATTTCAAACTGTCAGGGAAGTTGAAAAATGATTAAAATATAAAAGGTATGTGTTAAAAACCCAAATATTCTATACGTAATAGAAAACTAAGAAATAAGCATTTTATGACACACTCTTATTTAGCTCCTATTACACAAAATTCTGCACCGGAATATGCTAGTATCATGGGTTTATTAATGAAATGGCATTAATAGCTAATGCCTTAAGCATTAAAACAAGTGCAACATATAAAGAGATGTATATGATCTTGATGATGCAGCTGGAGCACATAAAGAGAAAGAACTGATATAACAGGAGTGATATGATATATCGTATGATTTAGACCTTATTCTACTATATTGGTAAGGAAATCTGTATTTTAGGCTGAATGTGGACTTGGATCCTCTGTAATATACAATCAGTTACCATGCACTTTTAACATGAGGCAGGCTCAAATAAATTTGTTAGCACCTTTTATACCAGGGATGTCAAACTGAATTTCATTGAGGGCCGCATCACAGTTGTGTTTGACCTTAGGGGCCTGGGGTGGGCATGGCCAGCTTGAGGTCACTTGTGTCGGAGGCGCCTGTGGAGGCCTGAACACTCTGCCAACGAAAACGGCCTCCTGAGCTCTGTTTTTGGCTTTGATGGCCTCCTGCAACCCTCTGCCAATGAAAACAAGAGCTCAAGAGGGCTGCGCGTGGTCCTCCCAGGCTCCGTTTTCAGCCGTGACAGCCTCCTCCAACCCTCTGCTAGCAAAAATGGAGCTTTGGGGGCTGCACGTGGCCTCCCTGAACTCCATTTTTGCTGGCAGAGGTACCATGGGCTGTTCTTTCGCTGTTTCCAGGGCAGCCCCGTGGGTCAGATCTAAGCACTCTGTGGGCTGGATTTGGTCCGGGGCCTTGCGTTTGACACCCCTGTTTTATACTGAATGCTTTCAGTTGTCAAGAATACAGAGATACATATAGAGCAGCATCACTCTTCATTATGTTGTTTTTGTTTTTGCAATCACAGCATTTGAAGTATTGGTTACATATATTACACATTTTCACAATTCTTTCAATTTTAAGTACCAATAAAGGAGAATGTTCAGGGTTGAAATGATGGGTCCTTGCTCTCTGAGCTTGGTTGTTTTCTTGCAGACATTTCATTACCCAAACTAGGTAGCACTGATGGTGTTACCAAGTTTGGGTAATGAAACCAGCTCAGCCAAGCTCAGAGAGCACCAAGGACCCGTCAATTTTGAGTACTGCATTCTCTCAGGACTCACTCTTCTGCATTTCTATTGAAAATAATGGAGTCATTGCATTTGTTAACTTAATTCAAACTACAAGCTTATTCAAGGTCACAAAATGATGTGGAAGAAAACAGGAAACATGGTACTTCTGGAGCATGAAAAAGCTATTCTGAGTATTTGGCCAAAGATAAATCTTACAGACTTTGGAATGTAAACATGAGAAAGATAAATCCCTTTCTTGATCTGCTATTGCCTTTCAGGAAACACTTATGATAGGAATCCATATTATGAATTATAAAGTCCTTAAAATTGCAAGATATTTGTTGTCCAAAAAAAAAAAAGTCTAAAATTACATAGCACTATGATCAATTTACAACTTCTGCCACTGCTGCTAGCTTTCCATTGTTGAGTTCTTATTGACGCTAATTAAAATTCTACGGAAAGAAAAGCTGCAGATTTCTCAATAACTTGCCAGTGAATGTTGTCTGCCAGCCATCTCCAAACACCCCATAACCACGTACAACCAGCCTGTCAGGAGAGCTAATGCAGACATAGTGGGGCACATCACATTTGCCATTGTGGCTTATATCAGATATACCCAGCTGTTTTTTTCTCAACACACAAAAGCATGATATGTAATTCAATGCTCAATTTACCCTGTCTCGTAGGAGATTTCCCCCCCCCACTAATTGATAGAAATTAAGCCATTAATCAAGCCACTAGCCATCATTCAAACCAGAGAAGATGAATACAAACTTTCATCATAACCACCTTCCCCATTTTAGTGTTCATTAGCATTAATTTTTAATGTAATTATGCTATTCTTTTACACTGAGCTCATAAATTACTGCTCTTTTGTTGCTTGCTAGCCTTGTAAAATCCAAGGTAATGCTTTGTGCTCTATTCTTAAAGGCAATTACTAGCTACTTCTATCTTTTATATCTATATAATAAAAAAACTTTATATAGTAAGTTCACCTAGCACAGATATGCTTATAAATTTATCATATACAGCATGAATATAACACAGAGATTCTACCATTGATGTAGTGTTATCCTCCTCATAGCTTGTACTGTTGGTACTGTGGAAAGGCGGTGTTGAGTGATCAGGCACTTTTTGATTAAGTTGTGTGGGTATCCATTTTGTTGGAGGATGTTGTAAAGATGGTTAGTTTCCTTTTTCTGATGTTCTGGGTTAATGCACTGCATTGGTGTTCATCTGAATAATATTGTTACAGAGTTTTTACCTTGTGGAGATGGGATTTTTACTTTGGTAATGAAGAAGTTAATTAGTGTGTGTTGTTTTTAGCAAGCTATGAAAAGGATAACACTACCATACCTCGAAAATCTGTCAGAGACAAACAACATTATTCTCCATATAGAGGACCTTTTTCTTGAGCTATTAGGTCTTTTGGCTTACTTAAGATATTTTTGAGGGCTTTAATTGGTTTCTGCGCTATCTGCCCAGCTTCTCGAGAAAT